TTGCAAGTGTGAAAATATATAGAAAATTAATGAACCTCAAACATTCCCCTAAAGAATTCCACCCGAAATTGTGCCGACTATAGATGGATGCAGGAGCTCCGTTATGTAAAATGAAGTCCATAGCACAGTTCGGTATGTGACACGATATACTTTCTACATGGGCAAGGGCAAAGTAGTGCGACATGGAGCCCTTCCACTTGCAGAAAGTGGAGGAGTTGTCACAGTGAGAGGGAAACTTCACCATTTGAGCAAGATTTTCAGTGAAAAATGATGTGACATCGCAATTACTCTTAATGTAGCATTTTGACGTAGCTTTTTGATGAACAAAAAAAAAACATCAGTCCCTTCCAAAAGTGGTTCAGTGGTTGGCTTCAAACAAAAGGTGCTCTGTCCAGAGTTGTTTTAAGACCAAGAAATGTAAATACCACGATATAAAAGCTGCACTTTGGAACTTTTGTCTCATATTTGTCTATAAGGGTTGTGGGGGGTGCTGGAGCCTATCCCAGCTGCAAACTCCCCACAGGGAGGCCGAAGCTGGAATTCAACCTGGTACCTCTGCACTGTGAGGTCGACACACTAACCACTGGACCACCGCCCACTTCTCTTATATTAATGAATCTTAATGTCGCAGTTGTGAATCAAAAACTACATTGGACCCATATGTCTGTTGCCTTCCACTGCCATAAATTTTTTCATTACGAAAGACTGATTAAAAAAAAAAATCCTGATGTAGGTTAGAATTATTTGTGCATGAAAAGGTTTAATATTTGTGAACTGTATGTGTTTTACTTGGCGCACCTTGAGCACAGTAACGTTCCAGGTGAAACTTTCGACAGCTTTGCTCAGCTTGCATCCTTTCATTCCTTCCTTCTCCGCCAACCGAGACAGATCTTCATGGAATTCCATGCCTACAAAATACACCGTTACACACGCAATCAGGTTATATGGTTTGCAATCCAAAATGAGCTCTATATTGTGTTGAAAAAAGACTTATTGGCACAGTTGGCTGTTTCACCTATCAAGCGACGATGTTGTTCCCATTAGTTTAACTCGATGTTCTTGCAACAAAGATCAGAATGGTTCAGGGAAGTTACATCTCAAAACACACATGACCAAACCCAGCAAAAAAGTTGAGCCGTGATGTCAACAATGCGAGCCAGAGGGAAATGTGATGTCACTTTCAGTCGACATCAGAGAGCGCTCTTGGCCAAAATGGTGGCCTCATGATAAAAATGGATTCATCGGCTATTACTCCACTACCTTTGTTGCTATAAGATTTTCAAGTGGGAAAATATATAGAAAATTAATGAACCTCAAACATTCCCCTAAAGAATTCCACCCGAAATTGTGCCGACTATAGATGGATGCAGGAGCTCCGTTATGTAAAATGAAGTCCATAGCACAGTTCGGTATGTGACACGATATACTTTCTACATGGGCAAGGGCAAAGTAGTGCGACATGGAGCCCTTCCACTTGCAGAAAGTGGAGGAGTTGTCACAGTGAGAGGGAAACTTCACCATTTGAGCAAGATTTTCAGTGAAAAATGATGTGACATCGCAATTACTCTTAATGTAGCATTTTGACGTAGCTTTTTGATGAACAAAAAAAAAACATCAGTCCCTTCCAAAAGTGGTTCAGTGGTTGGCTTCAAACAAAAGGTGCTCTGTCCAGAGTTGTTTTAATACCATGAGATGTAAATACCACGATATAAAAGCTGCACTTTTGTCTCATATTTGTCTACCCCTTTTTCATGCACCAATAATGATAACCTGCAACCTGATAACACGATAAGCTGTCCACTGTAGCAACCGCTGTCCCTGAAAGGGCTATCGTCTATTATACAAACAAAACAAAAGAATTGACCTTGCCGTTCCGATACTTTTTGTCTCGCCTAATATAGCATTTTCTAGATGGGAAACTCACAATTTCTTCATCAAATCTAATCTCTGGCCCTCATGGAAATATTTTCCTAGTACACCTTAATCAAGCACGGCTTTGGGCACTTCAAATCAAAAAAGGGCCTCCGCCACATTGTTCCCAACTTGGCTGCATACAATTGTCCCTAATTGTCATGGTAACTTGTGATGACGAACCAACTTCTAATGCCTCGTCTACCCAAATGCAAATAGTTTACATGCTGGCTGTTTCTAGGTCTGATCATCTACACCACTGGTACTGTAAGGCAAAATATGAATCCGCCATGGATGCATGACAATGTGTGGGGGTGTAACAGCCGAGCGGTGACACAAGTGGGAGGGAGGCCTCCTGAGATGGAGAGGGAGCAGCTGGACGCCTGGGATGCGTGAGCTTGACGAGGCGTGTGGGTGACTGCTTCACGCGTGTCATCAAGTGTCTCTCTGCATACTCAATGCCACAAATATGTGTGTGTGTGTGTGTGTGTGTGTGTGTGTGTGTGTGTGTGTGTGTGTGTGTGTGTGGGCACTGCAATTTGATGTTTTCACATTATAGAGTGTCGGCCCGGGGGCGATGTTGTAATGTTGCACTTTTTCGGTCCAGTAACAAGGCTGGATGGATTTTAATCACACATTGTAATGATGCCGAATTGTGTTTTGTATAAATTAGCAAATATGAGAACTAGCTAGGTTCAATTGTCAGCACGGTTTAAAAATCTGAAGCCTCTTGCGCTCAAGAGATATTGCCGCAACTGTGTCTTCACACAATAATGCCTAGTCTTGGACAGCAAAATTTCGGTACATAAAAAAATAATAGACAGCAAAAAAAAATTAAAAATACTGTACTATTTTATGTCATGTGCTCACACAGTGCCCCGGGTTCGAGAGTCGCCAACTCACATGTTCGCTTTTTTTTTTTTTTCTTTCAACCTGTCCTCTGATATTCGCTGAAAAATCCACATATTTTGCGGTCTTGGTGCTTAGGCCAAAGCAATAAAAGTATTATTTTGTTACAATTCCATGGCATTTTTGTGTCAAGGATCTATTGGAAGTGAGTTGAGGTGTTTCAGTTAGACAAAACTAGTGCTTTGGTGCCATCTTGTGACATCTACAGGCAACTAAAAGCCTTTGCGGACGGGAGGGCATCACTTGGTCCCTACCCACCAAAAATAGCAGAGCTTCACCCCCCCAACACACACACACACACACACACACACACACACACACACACACAGGTCTCTGTTGTGGCTGATACTCCCTCCGAAGGTCAAACATTTTCATCCCAACATTCCATGTCAGTGCCTTCTACACAGAATAGCGACATGTGAAACAGGTTCTAGATTCACATACCGGGAGTCATCATGTGCTAACATTGAAATTTATCCTAAAGTAAAAAAAATAAAACTTCAAACTCATGTTGGTGCTACACTGGCTTGTTGTGTGAGAACATAAGAGAACATAGTGGACCAGCCGGGATACCTGTCATGACTCATTAGCACTCATTTCAGTGCTAATGCATTGCTGTTTAGTATTTCACACAGACAAATTATGTTATTGTGTTAGCGTGTTAGCATGTTCATTTATTGGACACCATCATCATGAATTACAGATGGAGATTAACAAATGCACGTTTAGAACTGTCCATTGTTTTACCACACTGGCTCAAAAGTCACTAACAACCAAAATAAAATACAATAAATAGTAATGTGAGTGGGTGGGAGCAAAAAAAAAAAAACAAGACGAAACAAAGCAATTTTCTTCGCTATGTATTTTTGAAAAAAATAAAATCATCCTGTTTTTAAGAAGCTTTGCAGAAAGGCTAATAATAATAATGATAGCTCCTTTCAATATAAGTTATAAATCTGCTGGGGCAAACAGCATTATTTTAAGTAACATAAAAGGAACATAAAAGTTTAAATTATATAAAAGGATAATGCACACTAAATTGAAGAGTGTAAATTCAAGATAATTAAAAAAACAATTTGACCACATGGGGTGAAGACTTTTGCACTGACCGTGTCATATGCAGAGAGCAGCTTGCGGGTGGGCTCGGACACACTGACGAGAGCCTCCAGACACGGGTAGCCATCCTTGAGCACCATGGTGGCCCCCATGGTGCCCTCCGGGCTCTGTAGCCTGGTGGCCAGGCTCTGAATGCACTGCTTGAGTTTGGCCACTGTGGGGAGCCCACACTGCTCTTTGAAACTGGCCATAGTGCCCTGAAAGCAGCACCAGAATATGAATCATATTAACAACCAAAAAATAAAAAGAGTTGCAGCGAGACCAGCATAGACTTGGCCTGACCCAACGAGATGAACACCACATGCCACCTGAGTGCGAGTTTGAGCAAGTGTGTGATTTGCAGCAAAGGCAAGATGAATAATGGACTGTCACAGATGAGCCAACAGCGGGCGTGTGTAGGTGTGTGTGTGTGTGTGTGTGTGTGTGTGTGCGTGTGTGTGTGTGTGTGTGCGCGTGCATGTGCGTGTTAAAATAGGTGGGTGAGTGGCGGTAAGGTTTCCAATGTTGCTGCTATTTATACATACTTATAATCATCCGCCTCTCTTCTTTTTTTTTTTTTTTTTGTGATTCTTTTCACAGCTGACTTTTTGCGCCATTATGTAGTCTTTTGTATTTTATGTCAAGATAGCTCTTCCCAGATATTTTAATCTCAAAACACAATGATAACTTTCTTGTCCTCCATGGAACCCGAAACTGACTAAAATACATCATGTATCGATCGCCATAACATGTTCAAGAACACAACAGACATGAAATCGATAAAACAAACATGATTACCAGAAATACAAGAAATTGTACCCCTGATGAGCTGGATCAATAATACCGATTATCATTCTATTCAAGCCAATAAAACTTGACCTGCAACCAATTTTGGCCACAGACCCTCAATTTGGGAAACACTCACACACATAAAGTACACTTTTAAGCTTTTATGTGCCATCTTATTTCTGCCAAATAAAGTTAACTATGAGGCAGAGTAAAAACTAAAGCCTACCTATATTTTATCACAATGTTTATGGTCAGACTGCATTATGTTACAGTGATTTACAAGAATAATAAATATACTTTCTACGAATAAAATCGTACATAATAATAATTATTTTTTCATGAACACTTAGGCCCAATAAGCTACTGTATTCTAAAGTCAGTACAGTACATGGAGCGCTTAGAATCTTTTTAGGTGCAACTTGGTTGTTAGAGGAATTTATGAGCAAAATTGTATCATGTTTAAAGTTTCATTTAATTTGGACACATCTAAACGTTTGGGCGCGTATCCAGCACTTCCAAATGCCTGTGCACAAAGGCGCCGGCCACCTGGCCGGAGGGCTGTTGAAGTCCACAATTAGCACGTCAATGCAGGTGGGCAATCACAGGGGAGGGGGCGAAACTGGGTCACAAAAGGGGAATGAATAATTTGGGAACGGCGGTTGAACAACAAAAGACGAGTTGAGAACACCCGTCGCGCCCAGGCGACATTTGTCGTCCGCGAAGTCTGCAACATGTTGATACAGTGTGGACCAGACAGAAAGGCGCCAATGTACTGGTGGTTCAAAGCTTAAACTCAGGTAACCAATCACTACCGAGGGGCCGGACCGGGGGTGCGGTATGCAAATGTCGGGGGCAGTGTTTTCCTTGTATGTTACAATAAAAGTCGGAATTGGCGGGAAGGGAGCTCGAGAGGGTGATCATCGGAGCAACTACCGTCGTTCGCTCTCAGAGATCCCCCTCCCGCCGATATTGAAGACAATTTTCCTGTGTGCCGAGTCATTTCTTTAACTTTGTCCGAGAAAATCTCTGACATTGGTTGAGAGATTTTTGTAGCAAGTGGTGCAAGTAATCATGCCACTTTAAATTGCGACTGTGAGAGCGGCATTGAAATAGAGTTTAAGATTGGGATAGGTAGAAATTTGTCCTTTCCATGTTACTAAATAGAGTAATCAATTGGCAATAGTTCTTAGTGCAGTTGTGCACCAATGCAGCCACAGTGATAAGCATTTTGTTCAATTGATCCAAAAGTAATCACTTAACTTTGTAAAGGCAGAATCATTGACACACTTCTTATATTGGGTCTTCTTGGGGTGGACTTGCACCCATTGAAGCAAACTTGTACCAGCAAACTTTACCTGAGCTTCTTCCCGCAGGTCCATCACCTCTTTGAGAGGTGCACTGGCCAGTTTGAAAATCTCATCCACCGCCTTGATACCCGTGTTCCTCAAGGTGACATACTCGCGCCCGCGCCGGCTCCCCCGCCTCACCGACAGGCCCCTGCGGTGGACCTTGCCGCCCCCTCGCCGGTTGGTGACGGCTACATGCAAAAAGAGGCTGGCGTGGGGTAAGGGCTCCCCCATCAAGCCCAGCAGGGGCACGTTGCGGTAGCCGGACTGAAGGCACTCGAACGCCACGCTGAATTGGCCAATGAAGTCGTCTCCAATGTAGTCATCGTCCAGCACAACGAAACGAAGGAGGGCTAGCTCGGGCATGTTCACCTACAGATGGAGGAAAAGGACGAACCGGTCATGTGATGAAAAACCAACAGGTTTGTATTGCTGTTATAAGTTCATATACGCAAAAGTGCATTTTGCCAAACTGCAAATTGGATGTCAGGACTCTTTTAATACAGACTAAAAAAAAAGACTTTTTTTTTTAAATGAACATAAAAAATCGATTTTGTGACAAATAAAGCCATCTTGATGGCCCGGTGGTCCAGTGGGTAGCGCGTCGACCTCACAGTGCAGTTTGCATGTCTGGGTGGAGTTTGCATGTTCTCCCCGTGCCTGCGTGGGTTTTCTCCGGGTACTCCGGTTTCCTCCCACATTCCAAAAACATGCATGGCAGGCTGATTGAACATTCTAAATTGTCCCCAGGTGTGAGTGTGAGCGCGAATGCGAGTGTGAGCGCGAATGGTTGTTCTTCTCTGTGTGCCCTGCGATTGGCTAGCAACCGGTTCAGGGTGCCCGAAGACGACTGGGATAGGCTCCAGCACACCCCGCGACCCTTGTGAAGATAAAGCGATTCAGAAAATGTAAATGAAATGAAAAAAAAATGAATCCATCCGTGATTAAAATCTGCTGTTGACTAGTGTTATGGAAATGAAAAAGGTTGGGATAGCAAAGTGACATATGTAATACACACTGTATGGCCGAAAATAATGAAAAGTGAAGGAAATATGATGAAAAATGAATGCCTATTTCATTTCACTCAGGAACTATGCGGACGCACTCAGCACATTCGTAACGGGGCACCTACAGCCAATTCTAGAAGACGTCGCGGGTGTCAGTGGGAATTGTTAAAAATTGGTGAGGTCATCAAAATCATCCAGGCATGCTCTTGTCTACCTTGCATTGTGTACAGGGAACAGAAAAGGGATCTTCACCAAGTACTGAGCATGTGGCGTGTCACAAAACCGTATATATTGCATCTCTGTGTTCAGCTTTGAGAGGGAGACAAATATGAAAAAAAGAAAGAAAAGCTACATCGAGTGTTCACATTGAGCTCATGTCGCGACAACCCTGAGCCACACGGAGGCTTAAACAGAGTTCCCTGTTATGAGCTGTCACTTGCCAAGCCATCGAGGCGCAGCATCGACTTTAATTACACGCTACAATAAAAGGCATGTCCCGCCGCGCCGCACAGGGGCTTGCAATATTAAATTGCACACATTTCCAAGGAAGCCTCCGCACTAATAAGGTGGCAGGAGAAGCTGAAGAAAAGTGGCGGAACGGCGAGTGTGTTGGCAGCGTGACTCCATTATTGCTTTGTGCGCATGAAGACGAGTAAGCAATGCTCAATTAGGAGGTGTAATCGTGCACACAAACACAAGTCAGAGTTCTACTATATTACCATACCGCACATACTGCAGACGGTACTCTGTATAATCTATGTATATTTTTTCCGTTATGCGGCAATGTATAGGAAAAGCGCTTTTTTATTTTAAACATTCTTAACTGTCAAACGTAATACAAGTTAACTACTGTACTGTAAAATGACATTCAAATAAAGCACCTGACCATGTGGAGTACTAAATATGTGCTGTGTGTTGTCGGCTAGCATCTCTAATTTTTTTCATGCTCGTCATTAGCCGTTATACTTGGAGCAACGTGCTAGTTACCTGCTAGCATAGGATTGAATTAAGTATTGAACGTTGTGCATTTAACTGATATGTAATCAATTGTGCTGCTCGTGTTTTATTGAGCATCCAGACCATTTCCTAGGCCACAATAACTTCCATTTCCTCTTCTATGGTTAATGGCGGGGGGGAAGGGCGCCCCCATCAAGCCCAGCAGGGGCACGTTGCGGTAGCCGGACTGAAGGCACTCGAACGCCACGCTGAATTGGCCAATGAAGTCGTCTCCAATGTAGTCATCGTCCAGCACAACGAAACGAAGGAGGGCTAGCTCGGGCATGTTCACCTACAGATGGAGGAAAAGGACGAACCGGTCATGTGATGAAAAACCAACAGGTTTGTATTGCTGTTATAAGTTCATATACGCAAAAGTGCATTTTGCCAAACTGCAAATTGGATGTCAGGACTCTTTTAATACAGACTAAAAAAAAAGACTTTTTTTTTTAAATGAACATAAAAAATCGATTTTGTGACAAATAAAGCCATCTTGATGGCCCGGTGGTCCAGTGGGTAGCGCGTCGACCTCACAGTGCAGTTTGCATGTCTGGGTGGAGTTTGCATGTTCTCCCCGTGCCTGCGTGGGTTTTCTCCGGGTACTCCGGTTTCCTCCCACATTCCAAAAACATGCATGGCAGGCTGATTGAACATTCTAAATTGTCCCCAGGTGTGAGTGTGAGCGCGAATGCGAGTGTGAGCGCGAATGGTTGTTCTTCTCTGTGTGCCCTGCGATTGGCTAGCAACCGGTTCAGGGTGCCCGAAGACGACTGGGATAGGCTCCAGCACACCCCGCGACCCTTGTGAAGATAAAGCGATTCAGAAAATGTAAATGAAATGAAAAAAAAATGAATCCATCCGTGATTAAAATCTGCTGTTGACTAGTGTTATGGAAATGAAAAAGGTTGGGATAGCAAAGTGACATATGTAATACACACTGTATGGCCGAAAATAATGAAAAGTGAAGGAAATATGATGAAAAATGAATGCCTATTTCATTTCACTCAGGAACTATGCGGACGCACTCAGCACATTCGTAACGGGGCACCTACAGCCAATTCTGGAAGACGTCGCGGGTGTCAGTGGGAATTGTTAAAAATTGGTGAGGTCATCAAAATCATCCAGGCATGCTCTTGTCTACCTTGCATTGTGTACAGGGAACAGAAAAGGGATCTTCACCAAGTACTGAGCATGTGGCGTGTCACAAAACCGTATATATTGCATCTCTGTGTTCAGCTTTGAGAGGGAGACAAATATGAAAAAAAGAAAGAAAAGCTACATCGAGTGTTCACATTGAGCTCATGTCGCGACAACCCTGAGCCACACGGAGGCTTAAACAGAGTTCCCTGTTATGAGCTGTCACTTGCCAAGCCATCGAGGCGCAGCATCGACTTTAATTACACGCTACAATAAAAGGCATGTCCCGCCGCGCCGCACAGGGGCTTGCAATATTAAATTGCACACATTTCCAAGGAAGCCTCCGCACTAATAAGGTGGCAGGAGAAGCTGAAGAAAAGTGGCGGAACGGCGAGTGTGTTGGCAGCGTGACTCCATTATTGCTTTGTGCGCATGAAGACGAGTAAGCAATGCTCAATTAGGAAGTGTAATCGTGCACACAAACACAAGTCAGAGTTCTACTATATTACCATACCGCACATACTGCAGACGGTACTCTGTATAATCTATGTATATTTTTTCCGTTATGCGGCAATGTATAGGAAAAGCGCTTTTTTATTTTAAACATTCTTAACTGTCAAACGTAATACAAGTTAACTACTGTACTGTAAAATGACATTCAAATAAAGCACCTGACCATGTGGAGTACTAAATATGTGCTGTGTGTTGTCGGCTAGCATCTCTAATTTTTTTCATGCTCGTCATTAGCCGTTATACTTGGAGCAACGTGCTAGTTACCTGCTAGCATAGGATTGAATTAAGTATTGAACGTTGTGCATTTAACTGATATGTAATCAATTGTGCTGCTCGTGTTTTATTGAGCATCCAGACCATTTCCTAGGCCACAATAACTTCCATTTCCTCTTCTATGGTTAACATTACAAATTTCGCATTTGTTAGTTCATGTAGTTGAACTCTTAGCTTTCACAAATCTTGAGTCTAATTCTGTTTTCTGCGTGTGTGTGTGTGTGTGTGTGTGTGTGTGTGTGTGTGTGTGTGTGTGTGTGTGTGTGCGCGCGTGCATGCATTTGTGCATGTGTATGTGTCACTCAGCCCCTCGTGCTACAAAAGCTCTGAGTGGGAGCTAAGTTGTGCAGAGCGCAGTGTTTCATACATGGACAACCCAGACAGACAACCCCAGCAGACTGCGTGTGTGCATGTGCCAGTGTGTGCGTGTGTGTGTGTGTGTGTGTGTGTGTGTGTGTGTGTGTGTTTGCACGCGCATTCTCAGTAACTGAACAGAATAGCTCTGTGACATTTAATTCAATGACGCGGCAATGTTGAGTCGCGCAGGAAATGGTAAGAGCCAATTCAGCCTGCTTGAGGACAATGTTCTTAATTAGAGCAAGCAATTGCCAAAACCAAATGCTGTGGTCAGACCAAATGTGAGTTCAACTATTCTTGTGATATGAGAAAGTCAATGTGTTCACACAGATAGGTGCGAATCTGTATCGGGAGGCACGATTAGTGCATTTGAGGGGATGTGAGTGGGGGCAAACACATTGAATTTGAATTGGAAGACACACATCACATTGCAACAGCCAATTAGCATTGAGAATGGATTTACTCCGTCACACAATTTTTGCCCTTATTTAAAGTGTCTTTTTTTTTTCATCCATCCGGTGAGAAAGTATGCAGTCCTACTGTCTGTGGTGGCCACAGTAGCACCGATGAAAAACTGTAGCCACTTCGCTTAAGTTTCCCATCCCCATTGTGGGTCTCTTCAAAACATGGGTTTTATTATCTAGTGGTTAATATCTCCTTATATTTAAAATTTTACTATACTGACAGCATCGTCTTTAAGTAAATAAATGATAGCTTCTGCCCTCCACAGATTAATTCACTTTGCCTCATTTCCAACGGGACAAATCATGTACATCACATAATTATATATTATTTATGGTAGTCACTGATGGCATAGTGGTACATTTGCCGGACTTCGTCGCAGACGGCGTGGGATCAGAGGCTTCTCAGCTACGGTGTGAATTTGAGTGTCTGACTCTGTGTGTGTGTGCCATGACACTGATTGGCGCCCAGCATCGCCTGTCACCAAAGTCAGCTGGGATAGTCTCCAGATCACCTGCGACCCTGAACACGATAAGGGATATAGGGGATGGTTTAATGGAGGGTTGGATGACTTATTGTCTGGTTGTTGATGAGAGTTGTGCTTTCGGCTTAGTATTTCAAAGTGCAAGCGCAAGTGCAAGCAGAAAAATATTTTGAGGTTGGAATGATTGAAAAAAAAAAACACTCAGGAAAGCCACCGACGGCTGTGTCCTGAAAAAAATGATCCCGTGGTACCATGGCAACAGCTAAACGATGGCAAAGCGTGATTGCTGGTAATTTTCTCTGATGTACAAGACGCAAAGAGCAAAACAACAAAGAAAAATACAAACCCTCTTCACATCTCTACAAATGAAATTTGGAGCTCGCATCTTTAGTCAAACTAAAGGTTAAACAGTAATTTATGGCGTGTGCAATTATATTATAACTCGGGAGTTATAACTTCACAAACAGGGAGCTGAAGTTACTGCCAACATTGTTACTTTCGAAAGTCAAACGCTGTTAGACCCAACCATACACCGGGGCAGAGGCAGCCATACTCGACTTAAGTGGACCGTTTGCACCCCAAAAATAATACTAATTAAATAAATACCGGTAAATACAAATGTATAACATTTTACACGGATAAGAGCCTCTTGTACTCTTGAGTGATTTTGATCTATTCTGAAGCCTTCCTCCCGCTCTAGTGGCCGGGGGAGGCAATTGTATTTTGAAATAAAACTCAATTAACCCCTTTCATGCACCCTGTAACTTGATGACATGATGAGCTGTAGCAACCGCTCTCCCCGAAAAGGTTCCAGGGGTAAAAAAATTGTGACTCTGTAAAAAAAAATTAATCCATCAAATTTACTGTGTATTTGTTGACTTTTTTTTAATCATTTAATTTTGACAAGGGTGTTAACAACACTCTTTTCTGTGGCGTGTCAAGGCACATTTATTTTCACTTGACAGGGACAAAGTTTCATCCAGTCCTCGAAAATGATCATTAAACTTTGATGACCACTCAATTAGAGGAGAGGCAAATTGTCTCATACACAGTAAAAATACTTTGAGGAAAATTTACTTTTCAGTGTTTTTCTCTCGTCCAAGTGTAAATTGCACTCTGTTTAGTCCGGGACCGTCTTTTTGGAGTAAAATACACTGTAAGTGTATGACTAAAGCGCTGCAATGAAAGAACGGCAACCATGTTTTGAATGACCCGGCTGTTAAGGAATTGCAATAAAGAGAGAAAACGGGTGAGGAATAAAGTGCGCTGATATTCTGAGAGGTTGTTGCCAATGATTGTCTCAAGAAATCCACGTCAATTCTAACTGGGAAGTTGTCTTTACTTATTTTTCTGGTGTTTCAATCCCAAAATGGAAAATCGATGATTTTCACATCTGCAATGTTTTAGGCTTTTGCTCACAACATGGATGGATGACTTCCAATCAATCCAATTTTTTTTGTCTTCAAGATAAAAAATACAATTTCAATCTGGGATTGCCGATTTTTTTTTTCTTTTCACTTTGGCCTTAACACTCCTTTGTACTTTAGTACAATTCTTAGTCCTCAAAATAGTTCAGTTACCACTGAGTCATTCAAATTGGGAATTTTATTGAGCTTTTTATTGTTGTATTTATTTAATTTGTCATTTTAATCCTCTCTGACTTTGATGCAGCTTTTGTGATGCTCAAAAAAGATTTGTCAATTGTTATTCTAGTAAGACTATTCCTAATAATTTCATCGCTCAAAAAGACTCAAGGCGCCACACGAGTGATTTGTGTTTGAATCATAAGACTTATATAAAATTCCGTTGGCGCCCCTCACTCGCTCTGCCAGCTTTTAACAAGCCAATGTCCTTGCTTTTTATTATATTTGCAAAATGTATTAGATACAGAGCAGCACATGTTATAGCAAGTATCACAAAATCTTACTTGGAATTCAAAGGTCTCGTCAAAGAGGGGGTCGTCCTGGTTCTGCAGAGCAGTGCGTGTGCGCTGCTCCGCACAGTCAGCAGGTACTCCGTGTAGTTCCAGAACCACGTAGGGGTCAATGACCTCTCCCTTGGCGCCTGATCCCTGAGGTTTGGGTAGGTTGTGTGCACTAATAACCTGTTTGGCAGAACATGACATATACCCAGTAGGTGGTGTATTAGAAAATGCCATATTTCCTCAAATAGTGTCCACCCATAATATAAAAGCTTTGCCCAAATTAGGCACTACATGCCACATCAAACAAATAAACACCATTCATCAAATACAGTAGGTGCCACCCTCTTCCTTTTGGCAGACATTAAAAAACAATCTGTATTATATTTCTATTTATATTATAATTCTGTTACTAACCAAAACAGCAGCACTTACTGAGGTATGTTGTTTCCTGCACAGTATTAAAGTAAAGGTTTATGTTATCTAGATCTTTAATGTAATTTAGAGTTTGAGTAGACTCTGATATATGGTCACTCCACAATGTTGTGTGCATCAATTTTTATTCATTCATCCATTCATTTTCCGATCCGCTTTATCCTCACAAGGGTTGCGGGATGTGCTGGAGCCTATCCCAGCTGTCTTCGGGCAGTAGACGGGGGACACCCTGAACCGGTTGCCAGCCAGTCACAAGGCACACAGAGACAAACAACCATCCGGGCTCACACTCACATCTAGGGACAATTTAGTGTTCAATCAGCCTGCCATGCATGTTTTTTGGAATGTGGGAGGAAACTGGAGTACCCGGAGAAAACCCACGCAGGCCCGGAGAGAACATGCAAACTCCACACAGGGAGGCCGTAGCTGGGATTGAACCCGGTACCTCTGCACTGGGAGGTCGACACGCTAACCACTGGACCACCGGGCCGCATCCATCTATATGTTTCAGGAAACTAGGCCAATTAATTCTTTTGCCATGTATCCATTCATCGATTTTCTGCACGGCTTATCCTCATTAGAGTCACCCATGATGTACAACTCGCCAGCTAATCATATACAGAGAAAAGAACATTTACACCCACATTCACAAGGACAACCCTTTCACCGATCTGAAGTTCAGTAAATAAATGAAAAGTGGCCTGCCACTATGTGGGGAAATATGGCAATGAAGTGTTAAATAATATATAATGGAAAGAAACCTTAATGCGAAGAGTTTGCGGTGGTACACCAGGCACGCAGCCATGTGTATGGGCGCTGAAATAGGATACTTCATCCCTCATGACAGCAGGTCGGAGGACGTAACCACACCCTCCATTTTGAGAGAAGCGGCCCCTGTGAAGGTCCAGCATGGCGCCGGGGGTCTGCTGGTTTAAGGCCACGAGCTGCACACCACCTTTCCAGTATCCCTGCGGGTTTGGGTTACTGGAATCCAGACGCACCGAGCTGGGCCGCACCCTCGTTAAAGTGCGCTTGGTGAACATGACAAGGTCTTCCGGACTCTCTGTGGTCAGCCGCCCGGCCTCCCCTTCACCCAAGGAGCACAGCGTCCAATAGGGTGTCTCGTTCACCGAGGGAGTGCCGGGAGAGCCGGGACTGCTGGGCGGCGAGTGCTGCTTGCGAACAGCTCGTTGGGCGTAAAAGTGGCGGCTGTCTATCCGAGCGATGGCCACCAGGTCCGAGAGTTCTTTGTGGAGGCGCAGTTTCCTCGGCTGAGAGGGTGGAGGTACCACCAAAACCACACCCAGATCCTCCTCACCCGGGATGGTCAACCGCCGCCCGGCCAGAGGACCCCCTCCTCCGATCTCTTCTTCCTCCTCAGACACTTCCCCGTCGGATCCTTCATGATCCGGAGGGAGCTTCTTGCCCACTATTAGGACACGTCCCTTCAGTTGCTCAGGGGATGGTAAGGTGGTGGCTCGACCCCCCAAGCTGACTGGTAGGGATTCCGGAGTGTAAAGCCGGGAGCCGAGTACTTTCTTCAGATGCTGTGCCATCGTACGCTGCTGGGCTAATGAGCAGCGTTGGCACAAGTAGACCAGGAGTGGGTACCGCGAGGTCAGGAAGGCGTACTTGTTGACCACCTCCAAAGCGGAGCGGATGGTGACGGGTGCGTGGTGGTGGTAATGCTGATGATGGTGGCAAGGGATGTCTGGACCATAGTCAACCCCAAGTAGAGGCTCTCCTTCTGGGCCATCAGTTACTCCGAGCTCCAGGCACCGGCAGCCAGACTGAAGGGCTTTGATCAGCCCGCCAAGGTCTGCTCTGCCATGAACCTGATCATCCAGAAGGTAGGACCGGTACGAGGTGCTGACGAAACAATCGGCAGAATTAGTGAATAACATCGGTGAACGGATTTTTAAGACATTTCTTGATAAGTGATGCAATGAAACGTTTTTGCGTTGATTGCGAATTTGTCCTCGTTTTTTCTCTACCACATCAGGTTTTCAAAATAGTGATAATATTAACAATAATATAGTAATATATTTAGTAATGTTGATGAAGTAAGGGTGAGGTTCAGCAACTCTTATGGCAATAATGTTAGCACAACAATGCAAGCTGTTTGCTCCAAAATAATTTGCTGGGTTGTTTTTACTTCAATTTTTAAGTAAGGGGACAATACAAGGGACAATTGGTCCTGTAAACTCTCATTTCTTTTTTTGAAAATACGGGAAAGTTTTATTTTGTTGAATTGCACAACTTAAAATGTTATCGAAGTTTGTTGCCTGTAATTAAATAATAAATTGTCATTCAACGTTTTGTATTTGTAACCTGAGCACATTTCCAATCACAAGTTAATTGGACAGCAAACAATTTAGGTTTTTTTTTTTTTGGTTGGTTTATTTGGCCTTACTGAATATACTTGTTTCAAAGGTGGAGTATGTCTGGAGAAAAAGAACACAGTCAACCTCCTATTTAAGGAATGGTATTTACATATCAAAACTATCTATCCTCCATTGTTCTGGTCAAAGAAATTTTAAAAAAAAATACTTTGGGACCATCATCTGAATGCCAAGGAGTTCCTTGAAGGTTGAAGTGAATCGAGGAGTTTTATTTACACAAAAGTAGTGCTTTACAGCCACCTTGTGTCATTTATAGGGTTGATACTCATGGATTTTCGTTATTCGCAACAGAGCTCAAGAGAGAGACAGAATGTCGCAAGCAAGCATCAATTCGCAGACTCAAGAGTCACAATACACGTCATCAGTTGGTATCAACACTAAGCCAGACTGTTTTATTGTGTTTATATTCTTACTGTCTTGAATGTATTTTTGCTATAACGCCTTCACAATACACCTTTTTTATGAAGAGGATTGTTTTAATATTTTTACGCTTTTTATGCTTTTATGATATAAATTGTGTACCATTATGTATGATGCTAATATACACATATTTTTACACTTGAAAGACAGTTATTAATGCTAAAATGCGCCCTAATATATTATAAGTACAGTGAGGTTTGAGGGGTTTTTTTTGTGTTTTTATTTACGTTTGACAGTGTTTACCTTCTTTTACACTTGTGAGAATAAAGAATGCTAAAAGTGTTGTGCATGAGCTACAGGTATATTTGTGACCTAAGCTTCATTTACATGATGCCTTCATTGGCATTACAATTTTTACATTGTACTATTATTACAGTGGCTAACTTATTTCGACACTTATACGGTGGCGAAGAATGTTGAAATGATACTTGACATCTGTGAGGCATTGGGTACCTAATGTAGTAGTGTGACAGAGGCATGTTCATGTCCTGGCAAACCCCCTCGTGCTCAGGGTCAAGCAGCTGACACTCAGGAGACTGCAGATAGCGAGCGAAGCCATCCAGCCCCAGCAGCCCCCTCTCCTTGCCCTGTGCAGAGGGCTCATAGCGCCTCAGGAGCTCCAAGCAGCCCTCGGTGGTGGCCAAGGACAGACCCTGCTCCGTCTCCAAGAAGAGGCGCAGATCCTGAGGGTCCAGACACTCGCGGTCCTTGGCCAACTGCACCATCAGGAAGTAGACGTCCGGCCGGGTGCACAGCTCACAGTAAGCCTCCTGGAACTCCTCACGCGTCACATGGGAGGTCAGCTTCTCCTTGCTGCGCTGGATCTCCTTGAAGCGCAGACGGACCTGTGAAGGCAAATCGTAAGATGAGGACAGAGTCCCATCAGTGAAATGAATGTTAACAAACTTTCCAAAACTCTTGACTCATCCGTTCTATGAAGTTGGTCGATCTGATTAAACGTTGGTTTATTTTGTTTCGCAGAGGAAATGGAAATGACCCAGATACATGGCGCCGTAATAATGTCGTCCCTATTACTCATCCTTTGTCCTACTCGCCCTCACTCGTTAATCTTGTTCCTTTTCTTCTTAACATTCTTTCTTGTTACGTGCTCCTTGGGGGAAAAAAATAATGTCTGTCTTTCTGACAGCAAAGGACACAAATGCAGGAAGCAGCGAGAGAGTCACTGCCATTAATAAAAACCAAGAAATGAAGCAAAGACCCGGTTAGAAAATCTTTTTTTTTCCTCATCAAGGCAAATTCATGTTCACTCTATAAAAGTCTGATTAGCATCTCCCCTCAATCTAATGTGAAAAGATGGTCGCCTCCCTGAGGAAATTACATAACATTTCCAAACAAAGCAGGCTTATAGACCCCTGTTTGATTTTATACACCAGCGTGGGACATCGCCTTTGACATGGCACGAAATACAAAAGGTTAGCCCAGGAAGTCCCAAGGCTTGCAGAAATCAAAATAAATCAACAAAATGACTAAGAATAAATCCTGTATGATAAAGAGATGAAGGATATGCTTATTCATGGTTTGAATGTGTGCAGCAGAATGAAAGTGCAAGAGGCTAGAATTGCACATGACATTTGATAGTTGGGTAATTTTATACCCGACAAAAAAAAAGAAAAGAAAATTGTGTTCAAGAATAAAGTGATCTATTTGCAGGGATGAATAGAAATGGGAATAGATATGATGTGTTGAAATCAATGAATTATTGTTTTTGAATAGTGTGATTTCAATGTAAAACAAAATAATAATGATTCTTATTTTTTATTTTTTTCAAAATCGCCCAACCCCAATATTTACGTTAATCTTGCAAAGTCGGCCCATCAAAAAGGTGACCTGTGTGTTTTACAGAGAACCTCACAAAGCAGGATGTTGTATAACTTTTTCCCACAACGGCACTGTATCTTTTCATCACTGTTCAACAGCCATTTTTTGTGCCGCTGTTACACAAATGGCTTACAAAAGTCACTCTGTGTCTGCACCATGGCAGTCTTCTCACGCCCCACCTCTGTTCTTCCATATAACATAACGATAATACTTTAAGTAGTACACGGCGCCATTGACATCAGTATTTGAAATCTGAAAGGTAAAAACTCAATCAAAAAACAAAAGGTGCAGCTCCTTCGAGAATCCACACCAAAAAAATCAATCTATTTTCTGCTAAAAAAAATCGAAGGTGAGATCTAAAAAGCATTTTGACGCACAAACAAGTTCATGCCGTTTGTGAAAGATCAAAGCACTGATATTGAGCGCTATCGCAGAATTCAAGCTGTTTTTTTACAGAGTTTTACAGTATACAGGAAAGTCCAAATTTAGAAATGCTCCTCATTTTGCCTCAATATGCTGGGCAGCACCTTTGGTCCATTAGGAGAAATACAGCACAATCAAGAAAGAGACAATAAACACAATTTTTTTGCCTGTGAGTATTATTCTATGCTAGGTTTGTGTGTATTGCAGCCCCATTTGTGTTAAAGTGAGTTGAATGTTTATAATTACTCTATCATTTATGCTAACTACCCTTAGCCTGTCTATGCATTTCGCTTCATACGTTAGCATTAAACTAGCAGATTTCCCATAGGCATGATTCAATGTTTATTTTTTTTTTAAAGAACATTTTGGTGTTTAAAAATCCAATGCTTAGGTCTCTTTTGTTTTAGTTTTACAGTAAGCATCAACCAGGAGTGACAATAAGCAGCTTGAAGCAAGCACACATTACATCTTATTTGGAGAACGTTTTATATTTTCAAATTGTCTCCATACATCACTGTATTTAACTTACGACTGGAACATTTACCCCGCAATGAACATAGCTTGACTTTATATTGGGACTGATGTTGTAATGTATTAACCAATGTGATATAAGTCAAGTCATTTAAAGGACAATTACACAGATTCCCCATGCCTGCATGCCATGGCAAAGGTAACCGTCGCACCTTGGCTTCCTTGATTCCAGGGCAAAGTTTAACGATAGTCGTGACTGCCACATCCTCAGACACGATGCCGTAACCATCTTCGTCCACTCGAGCAAACTCTGTCGCCAGCCACTCGCTCCTCATCTTGCTGCCCAGACTGCCCTCCATCGTTGCTGCTTCTCCCAAATCGCTTCCTCCTGCGAGTCCGCCGCCAACGATCGATGGGTGCGCCAACAGGTAACGGAGGCCCGTCACCCAGATATTGGCCACATCCGCTGAGAGTGCCACCAAATCTAGAGACTATAGGGATGAAATTGTTTGGGTTAAAAAAAAAAAAAAAAACACCTTTGCAATGATCAATGAAGATATAGTGGTAACTTCAAGTTTGAACGAAACCCTGATTGCACTTTCAATTTAAGAGCCAATATATTTGAAACATTTGCCTCCTTTTTCAAATGTCTCCTATTAGAAACTGGTACAGGCAATGGTTGAACAAACAGTTTAACATTCCTCTGCAAGAGTCTAATATTCTGCGATTGGCTGGCAACCAGTTCAGGATGTACGCCCCCTACTGACTGAAGACAGCTGGGAAATGCTCCAGCACGTCTGCGACCCTTGTGAGGACAAGCGGATTAGAAAATGGATGGATGGATGGATGGAGTCAAGTATTATTAATTTGAACCCTCGCAGTTGTTAATTCACACTTATTTGTAGATTTTTCTGGGAATCTATTTTCTAATTATTCGCCAAAATTCAATGTTTTGTGTGTTCATGTCAAAATAAGTATTTAAGTCAAACCTCGGTTTTCAAACTTCTCGGTTCTCGACCAATTCGGTTTTCGACCAAAAATTTTGAGTTTTTTAGGCCTCGGATGACGACCAAATTTCGGTTCTCGAACAAACTGAGAGCACTTGAATGCACCACTTGACTCCTCTCGCCTTCCTTACACGAGGAAGTGACGCTTCCTCGGGTAGACGAGGAAGTGACGCTTCCTCGTATCGCTTTCCATTGTGAGCAGACGTGTTCAATAAACATTTTTTTTTAAAAGAGCGTGGTTTCGATTTTCGAACAATTCGGTTTTCGAACAGCGTTCTGGAACGGATTATGGACGAAAACCAAGGTTTGACTGTATTTGGCATTTGACGTCACCATACAACATGTTGGTCATTTGATTGTTTTGAATTTATGGCCTTCATTCGAGGACTAACAGCATTTCTCGTATTAAAAAAAATATCCACTGGAATTAATCAGAGGTGTCGGAAATACCGTATTTTCCGCTCAATAAGGTGCTTTGGAGTATCAGGTGCGCCTTCAAGAAATGGCCTATTTTAAAACAGTGTTCATATGAAGTGCACGCCACATTAAAGGCGCATAGAGTAGAAGCTACTATAGTGGCTACGGTTGCCTTATACATCCACTAGATGGAGCTACGCTAAAGGGAATTACAATTCAATCCAATACAGCTTGATGTATATGGAGCTTTCACAGTCACTGCAGCTGTAACAAAGCGCTTAACAGAACATTTAAACTACTCCGGCCAAGAAATCAGAATCTCGATCAGTATAGAAGGCGCGTCAAATTTATGATGCACATTTTTTTGTTTTTGAGAAAATTGAATGTTTTTAGATGCGCCTTATGGTGCAGAAAATACAATTATAAATTATCAACTTAATCCACAACTATTTTAATAATTGAGTCATCTTTTAGAGAAGCGCTGAGCCGGGTACTCATTTTAGACGAATATCCGTTACGGGTAATGCACTTTTGCAGAGGATGAGCATGAAAGCAGAACAGCTCGTCATTATTTGGACTCGTGCAGAAGAAAAAAACTAATTGGGTCACTACTTATGTATTCACTCTTGGCACTCTTGTGATTGGCCAGTCACACACAGCAACTGCTCGTCCCGAGACAGACTGCCTGTTGCAAGAGGAGCCGTGCGTCACTCTCAGGCAAATAGTGACTTATGATCTGTCTGTGCTTGGCTCAGCTTGACTCTGGCTCACGTTGCTCGAATCAGTTCTCAGTTTTCCTCAGCTTGCCTCTATTTCAGTTTATGTGATATTTAAAGTGAGTTGGTAAACTTGTTTTGTAATGTACTGGTGCAATTGAGAAGAGGGAGCTGCAAATGTCTCGTTTTGCGTCGGTCACGCTGCCAGGTTTTTTTTTTGTTGTTTTTGTTTTCATCTGCTTTCTTCTAATTTGGCTGATGTTATATAAAGTCAGTTGGAGAACTTTGCTCAAAGTCCTGAATGTGGTGATTTTGAAAATAATACAATGAGCAAGGCAGACAGATTACTTCCCAGTTTGCCATCAATGCATTCTTACATTAATCCTGTCATTTAAAAAAAAATTTTTTTTTTTTTTTTTAAATTCTGGAAGTGGTTCTTTGATTTTTGTGATCAAAACCGTAATTCGAATCTCAACTTTGAGGCTGTTCGGTAAATAGTTTTCAAATAAATCTAAGTCAATTTTAGATTTAGGATAATGGAACAATTTATGCCCAAACTGTGCGCAGTTCCAGTTTAAGCCTCACCCACTCCGAGTCCAGATATGGATACAGATTAATTATGGGTGAACAGATACAGAAACAGATACGGATCATAGCGTACTCACTCATCCCTAGTTTAGAGCCACTGTTGAACTTAAAATTGTCCAGACTATCTGATTTCAGCCCCTCATCAGTAATTATTCTCTGATTTCTATCGACCTTCATGAAAGCAGACCGAATATCTTTTGCATTTGATCAAAATAAGACGTTTGCAAATATCTGCTTTTACTTTGGAAAACAAGGGCCAAACCAGCAACTGAATCAGATTCAAAAAGGCTGATGCATATAACATCAATCTCACTTGAGTGATATTGCTTAGTCACTGTTAATAAACTTGGGAAAAATGATTTTGTACTACACGTGAACGCAAAATAACATGGCTGGAAGCATGCAACAGGTCGGCTGAACTCCAAATGGTATCATTTGTGCCACCCTAACCTTTCAGCTACCACGCCCCTCGTTCAGTCTTACCTGGTAGTCCTCCCCATGTATGACAGAGAATGCGGCTTCCTCAGCCAGTTGTTCGCACAGGGGTCCGTTATGCAGGAAGGTCTCGGTGCTCTTGCCTGTTCGCACCTCTCGGATGCTGACAACGTCCAGGCGGGCCCGATCCCCATCCTTCTTGGACGGCTCCCAGCGCAAGCAGCTCAGGTCGGCCTCCAGCGTGTAGAAGCGACAATAGATCCGGGAGTTGGGGCGCACCTTCTTCAGCTCGCATCCGCCCTGCATGAAGGCCAGGCAGTCGGCTGCGCTGTTTACCTGTGGAATGAAAACCAATGTTATGTTTAACTGTACGTTACACGTCGACAATAAAATAGATGAGTATGTTTCCACACTAGTTGCACGTGTTATTTTGGGGGGTGTATTCTCGCATGCGAGTCAGTAAAGATTTCAAACTTGCTCAGTTCAGCTGCACGCAAACATCTCATAAATTGTGGTGCCCACATGATCCAGGAATGCAACAACAGCCGTAAATGATGGCCATTGTTTGGGTTGCCATACAGAGGCAAATTTTGATGTATAATTAGCAATTTGCATTTCAGCTCAATATCTGTGTATGAAGCTACTGAAGCTATTCAAGTGTAAAAATAATTCATTTAAAAATAAGTCGGTACTTTCGTGCTCCGCGTTTGGAGTCCATGTAACAACCGAGTAGACCATGACATACAACAAATGGCAGAGTCAGCTATCTTTATTTATTAATAGTACACTGCAGGGAGGATTGATTTAAATCATATTTTTTTTCTTTCAGTTTTGGTCCCAGATGTTGCACTCTTGGCCTGTGTTTTCAGAGAACCACCCAGTCCATGAATTCTCATGATGTCTTTATGGAGGAAGATAGCGTTTCAGTGGTTGGGATGTTATTCTCAAAGAAGCTGAGTGAAAAGGTGAATTCACATTCAACGTCAAGGGTGTCAAGAAATAAAAAGATTCCACATGAAAGCACTCGACTATGTCACATGGTATCTGCGTGTAGGTATGAAATGTGCTTTAAAATGTACCTTCTTCTCCGAGGGCATGCTGCTGAATGACACAGTCTTCTTTCTGCCTCCGCCCACCTTCTGCACCGAAGGATCCTGGGAAAACAAAAATCATTGTAGCATCAAGATGTTCATATTTCGTACCGTGGTTAACGTCACCTCTCTTACAAAAATGACAGTTATGAACAAACTTTTTCAAGTAAAAATGTTCCTCCTTTTTACACTTGTCTGAGCATTCTTGTCAAATGCACAACACCAGTCACAGAAGATACAAAATGCTTTATTCATACATTGCCGCTCTGGCTAAAAGTCCAATCAAGCCAAAGGAAATGGGAACAGAAGTCGGAAGGACAAACATCAAAACAAAAAAAGCAACGCTCTACACATCCGCAGATGATCATCAACATGACTATCGCCGATCATCTGAGACCATCATGACACAAAAATACTCTGGGCAAAATATTTATTTATTTATTTATTTGCAAAAAAGGGAGGGGGCGGGTTACTACAACTGAACAAAAATTACTTGGACACCTCTGGATTTTATTTATTTATTTATTTATTCATTCATTCATTCATTCATTCATTTTGCTTGGGATGTACTTCGATTGTCTGGCAAATAGTTCAGGGTGTACTCTGCCTACTGCCCGATGACCGCTGTGATAGTTTTCGGCAAGCCCGAAACCCTTGTGAGAATAAGTGGATTAGAAAATGGATGGATGTCGTTATGTACTTTACAGTAATGTAATGAGGAACAAAACCCATTTTCATGACCGTTATGGCCGAGTCAAACGACATGACTTTTTGGTCGTTCATGTCGGTCGCGCTGTCAGGCTACCAGATAAATATCGTTCTGTATCTTGGACCGGGCGAGATGTCATGCTACAAGTTTGTCACCGACCAGACACTGCCCAATCATTGCATGCTTTCATCAAGATTCAGTCCATCGGCGCAGACCGTCGGGGATGCGGGACAAGGGACAAGTGGCTGTCAAAGTCATGTTGACGGAGGCATTAAGTGCATGTGCATTGTTTCTATGTTCAGAAAAGGCAAAAAAAAAAAAAAAAAAAAAAAGGAGAGTTTGGCCTCGTTCCTGGATGGTGGAGAGAGGGCGGTCTGGACTGTCTATTCTCCAAAAAGAACTTGAGGCAATGAATTTGTTGAATGATACCACATTTGAGAATCAGCAACGAGCTTTGCAGTTAGCAAGCATAGCATGAATTGAAATGCTCCGTATACTTTCCAAGATTTCCCCTTTTTTTTCCAAGTCACTTTTGAAATACTACACACCACATCGTGATTGTGTGCGCCATGTTCATTCTCGCGTCATAAGTAGGAGGACACATCTTCCTATTGGTCAATGCCGAAGAACCAATTGAAGCACGATGTAGGACATGTTACACTACGCGGCAAGAAGAACAAAAATTACGACATGCCAGACTTTCGTTGTCATGAGGCGTCTTGTCCTTCAGTATGTCGCGCTAAACGGGCTACCACATGTCAAGAGAACTCAAAATCTGCGACACGTCTGTCAGCTCAAAATCCAGCTAAATTAGTGTAGTCTCTCGTTGGCATTGAGGTCATTAAAATTACACTTTACCTGTACAGTTAATACAGGTTTATGATTGCGTCATTGACTCTGTGACAGGTTATTTTCCTTTTCATTATTTCCTCTGGACCAGCATTTGACTTCCTGCCTTGCTCAGCATGAGCCACACAATAATGACAGACAGGTCAGAAGTCAGGAACAACAGTCGCTGTGTGGAACATGGACAAAGAGGGGGCGGAGCTTTGTTTTGAATAGGCAGGAAGTAGTTTTCTTTTCATCTATTACTACAGCAGACGTGCCGAGTGATGAAGACTGACAAAGTGCATCTATATTTCATCTTTTGTCTTCCCTCCATCTTCTTTTCAAGTACACATCCTTATTCAATCGATGACTGGATGCTTTTCCCAAAGTAAGATGATAGATCTGATGCCAGTCTTCATTCCCCTCCTTCTGGAAGCAAGAATGTGTACAAACACAGCATTCACTGTGAATGTAATTTACATATACACTATTGGTAAACAGTTCATAATTAAATGATGAATGGGAGAATTCACTTCGATTTTTTTTAAGGAGGCATGTGAAAGAACCGAGCAGAATAAAATAGTAACTCACAAATGGCCAAACAGCTGGTGAAATGACTAAATAGGGACTTAATGTATTTATTTATCTATGAATTCATTAATTAGTTCATTAACTCATGATTAAATTAAATAATCTGCTGTTCCCCACCGCCTATTTCGCTATTTTCTTTTCTCTTTAAGGTTGGATTTTCACTCAATGGTTTATGGAACAACGTAAGATTTTTTTTGGTCCCAATTTACTGTGGCTCACAGGGCATACCCAGATCGTGTGCGTGTGTGTGTGTGTGTGTGTGTGTGTGTGTGTGTGTGTGTGTGTGTGTGTGTGTGTGTGTGTGCGTGTGTGTGTGTCAGGAAAGACCATCATCTGAGGTCATTTAAAAATAGGTTGATAAACACACCCTGCTCACTTGTCAGCTCCCTGCACTTATAATCACCCTCTACCGAGACATATGACTGACAGCTCCATCGCAGCATGGCGGGCAAACGTCACCGCTTTGACAACCTTCATCAGCGATGCGGTGAGGAGGTGTCAGCCAGGGGGACCTGCTCGCATCGCATAATGAGTGTCGGCGCTCTTACTGAAGCAGGTTCTGACTTGTATTATCAGCAAGCCGATAATGCAATACCTGTTGCTGTCAAGAGAGTTATCAATGGAGTAAGATGTATTACTATGGTGGTGGATTGGAGCGGTATACAATTGAACTGCATCATGCTGAGAGCTTATCCGAACAACGTCAACATAAGTAACTGTGAGGGCCCCGTCGTGAAACTGAATAAATTATGCATACACATGTAATAGTTAGAGTGTATGTTTGGAGTGTATGCAGAGATGTGCCACAAACAGACCTACATTTCAGGGTAACCTGACATTATCATCAGCATCATCAATAATGTACTGTAAGGCAACGCAAGGGAAGCCAAGGAGGGCAATCTGAGAGCTGAAAAAAAAATCTGCTTTGTTTCATCTGTGTTACTGGCATGTCCTGCAAACTGTAATTGCTCATGTTTCTGACTCACTCTCGTTCCAACCAACTGATGTCAGGCTGCTGAATAAACATGCGTGAAAACCTGTAGCCATTGTAAATATTGCACAGCCACCTTATGTATGCATAAGATGCATATATGCAACTTACATTTATACTGTGTACAGTTTTCTGAAACATTTATTTTGTGCATGCAACCCTTTTTTTCCTCCCCCCCCCAAATTTGATGCTGTAGACTGCAAATTTCCCCAATGTGGGACAAATAAAGGTTATCTTATCTTATAAGACTAATGTTCTGATTCAAGGGTGGTAAGCTTGTTTTCAGCACAGTCCATAATGGTCGTTAAAATTATAGCTATTGTATGTTCTCAATAGGTACAGTAAGGGAAAAAAATGCTAAATATCCTGCTTTTCTACTGACAAAACATGAACCGATTTAACAACATTTCAATGAAAAAGGTAAAAGCTTAAATCTTTTTTTTTTCCAGGAAATATACTGTGATTTGTCTACTTCTTTAGGAAACGGATGATGCAGACAAGTGCAGCAGTTTATTATTTTTTATAATTGAGCCAATGGCATGAAGTCTGCAAGCCAGGAGCAGAGATGGGAAAAGTATTCACACTCTGATACGTGAAAAATGATACTTACGTACCAATGTGAAATGTACATACGTAAAAAATATGTAAAAAAAAAAAAATCTCACACGTCATCATCATCAGTACCCTCGTTCACATTTCTCCATGTAGCCACTGTCTCTCTGTTTTGTATACTCCATCCATCCATCCATCCATCCATCCATTTTCAGAGCCGCTTTATCCTCACAAGGGTCGTGGGTCATGCTGGACCTTATCCTAGCTGTCTTCGGGCAGTAGGCGGGGGACACCCTGAACCGGTTGCCTGCCAATCGCAGCGCACACAGAGACGAACAACCATCCGCGCTCACACTCACACCTAGGGGCAATTTAGAACGATCCATTAACCTGCCACGCATGTATTTGGAATGTGGGAGGAAACCGGTGTAGAAACCCACGCAGGTACAGGCAGAACATCCAAACTCCACACAGGAAGTCCGCAGCCGGAATCGAACAATGCACCTCTGCACTGTGAGGTCGATGTGCTAGCCCAGGGGTGTCAAACATCCGGCCCGCGGGATCATTTAAAAGTGAAAAAAATGCATAAAAGACACGGAATGAATATTTTTAATAAGGTGCAATTCGTGGAATATCCGCTAGGGGGAGACACTATTTTGATCAGAGGAAAAGACAACATTGTTTTGATCAGAGAAGAAGACAACAACAGCCTCAGTCTTTCACTGAGACAGACCCAACACAGCAGACGCTATCAAGGACATGTGAATACTTTATTCTTTACACATATTATAGCACTCTCCTTAGTTTGTCAGGTGTAGGCACAGATTACATTTAGATTTTATATGCTCGTGTAAATGGTTTAAAAATTCCTTTCTTTATCAATCTTGTTTAATCTTAAAAGTGCATTACTATATTTTTCAATACCAATTGTTAAGGTTTTGTGCCTTTGTACAGTCAGTGGGATCAGTTGCAATGCATATATGTGAATGATAAAAGTAAATTGCACATTTGTGTAAGGAAATCTTAGGTGCTTCATGAAATGTTTTGGAAAAGATATGTTCATTAAATTTCCACATTTTCTGAGTGTTCTTGTGCTTCTTTAGACCAAAACAAAGGAAAGACATATTATTTTGGTTATTTATAGCAGAGTATGGTATAATTTTTAATGGTCCGGCCCACTTGACATCTACCGAGGCCGTATGTGGCCCACAATGTGAAATGAGTTTGACACCCCTGTGCTAGCCAATCATCCACCATGTTGCAATCTAGTTATACAAGAAATATAATTGACGCCCCATCACACACAATTCCCCCTGAGTATTATTATTGTCCTTTTTTTGTGTTGGATAATTGCCCTGTGATTTACTGGCGACCAGTCTCGAGTGAAGACTGCCTCTCACCCAAAGTCGGCTGAGATAGGTTCAAGCTCCCCCGCAATCCTGAACAGGATCTCATACCTGACACGCCAAAAATGTTTTTTGGACCACTGGAATTGATGAATTGCATTTAAATGGGGATTTGACACAAAGCTTGAGCTTGATCACTCAATGAATTAAACTCATATGTCAGGGTACGCTAGACTTTAGTTCATTTTCTGCCCTAGAAGTGCATCCCAATACTATAGAAAATATTTTTTCCACTTGTATCTGCAGTGTTCTTGAGCTTTGCACCAACATTTGCATGATACTTGGGTGTACCTCATGCAGTGGTTTTTAACCTTCTTAGATGTACAGAACCCAACCAGTTAATTTGCACAATCACCGAACCTTTTATTAGTGAAAAATAAATAATTGTTTTTTTTTTTGTTTTTTTTTACAAATTCAAGATATACAAAAAAATGCATTTATTAAAAACAGAAAAAAGTAAGTAAAATTACATGGCATAAGTATCGTTTTTTTAAATTGTATGCCGCACAATCGTGACAGTCACACTGTGACTACTAACCGAACTAAATTTCCCACAGCACTGATTGGACAAGCAATGTCATGTGATCATCTGCAGCCAGTGATGGCCAAGCGGGCATCACTAATTGACATGTTGAGTCGGGTGTGCCTTAACCTCCATGGCAGAGGCTCCGTTGAACCCCTGAGACCGATTCACCAAACGATCGAACGCAGGTTAAGAACCACTGACTTAATAGAATGTCCCAACCCAAGATATTTTTTTATCCTTTTTTTTTCTACCTTTCCTGACTCAGTCTCCCACCCTCAGCCTTTGCTCCACTTCCCTCGTCTCTCCACTTCCCATCTGCTCTCTGATTTTTTCCTCTGGGCGGCGACTAAGCTGTGAAGCCTACGATTAAATCGCAGATGAACAATCCAAACAAAGTGCCATCGCAGAGAGCGAGAGAAAGCAAGAGAGTGAGAGACCGACAGAGAGCGATGCAGCCAATGGATTAGTACCCATAGATGTCCTCTTGGGGCAAACGCCGAATGCCGTATTAAACACTTTGCCAGACCGTGCTCACAGTTTCCTGGATGGCGTTGTATGTCGTGCACAGGAATGTCAACTTAGAAATATGCAACACACACACTTTGGATTATCAGCCTCCAGCCACAACATCAATGTTCCCAAACGTCCGAGGCCCTCAGCATCATCAGCACAGCCAGGCCGCTCATGCTCGGTCTACCTAAATACTCGCTGACCTGCTTTCACTAAGCGTATCTGTCCGGCTCCGTCTGGTCAACTTAATGAAGACATTTTCTGGGACGCATACGTGAACAAAGGCAAACAAGCGCTCACTGACGAGGGAATGCCGGGATTGGAAATCCATACGTGTGCTTGGCTGGCATCAATGTTTACCTCGCAAGCAAAGTTGCCTTCATCCGTGTCTGCTTGAAGGTCTCACAGAACTTTCCGGCTCAATCATTGAGTTGTTTCCGTTCCTGTTGTTGCTTCTCACTGCAAGGCCACTGATCAATAACAGACGCTTAGGAATTCTTTAGGCGAGTACCGTGAATTCTAAACAACAACATGTTGATAAATGATGAACTGTTAGCTCTTTTTTCGCTCACAGTTTTCCACCGTGACTTTGAACTTTTTATTTCACTTCCCGTTGAAATTCATGGAAACCGTCACATAAAACAGAAGAGAATTAAACATTGTATATTCAAACACCAAAATAATATAATCAAACGCATGTAAATCTTAATGCCTAACATACAATGCAAAAACACATTAGATCGGCTACCAAAATTAGCACAGGGTTTACAGTAATCATTACCGTTCAAATAACTGTTACTTTAATTTAAAAAAAAAAAAAAACGATGGAACACATCACCAGTGCTGTCAGGCATCTATTCGCTTTGCGCAAAACAACAAGACTGGACTTTAGTTGAGGACCTTCTCTGCTCCTTCTTCCTCTTCTTATATTAGGCTGCATGTTGTGACTGTTCCTCCTAATTGTTTGAGTTGCTATACTGTTGCTGTGGCTCTTTTATACTTTTGTATCTTTATTCTGTTGTATGGGATTGATGTCTCACAGTATGTAAACTTGGATTACTCAGTGACAGCTTGTCAGTATGTCGAGCTTTCTACTAGAGTGTCAGCTCCAGCCCTGCTCTCTGTAGTTACCGTACTTTGTATTTTCCATCGATAAAGACTTGTACTTTTCAACTTCCGTGTCATGTCTGCTCCTTGGTCCTATTTCCGCTCCTCACATGACGCTGCATCTCTTCCGGGATATATCAATGTTGAACTCTTAAAATTGGGACTTGCCTGTACACCTGTACACCATTGAAAACAAGAGCTTAAAGATATCCAAATGTAGCAATGGTTCGAATGCTGAACCACAACATAGCAATGTAACACTTTCATCGTCGTCGTTCAGCAGAAAACATATAATCCGAAGGTTACAGTATGAGGCACTCCTCGACATATCACCTAAAATACAAGCAGACACAATGGTTGCCATCATATGATTAATTCGACAAGAGAGGAACTTCGAAGTCAGGCCCGTTCGGGCTCACATCCGCCCTTCAGGTTTACATTCAGACACGTTATCTCCCCTCGCCATCACTGCATTGCATACAACCTCGTAGCGCAACACGCACAAAGTATGCCTGACGTGCATGAGCTTGCATGTTTTGCAACCGAATCCAGTTGCTGGAGGTTAAACTTAGAAATGGAGGAAGTACATATTTACTGCTTGCAGACATGCTTTCAGGAAATGCAAGTGCAGACATTTTGCTGACGAGTAGGGCTGGGAAATCAATTGCATGGGTTTCTTTAAAGTCGATGGAGTGTAATGAGTTCCTTATTACTTTTAAGTTACTTTAAAGCTTCATGCTTTCGACATTTTGAAAGGGAAATGTGAATTTTGCAACCATAGCTGGTAACGTTAAATTGCAATGAGGATCTTTAACAATATTGTCTGGGGTAAAATGGAAAAAAAAATTACTATGATGGCAGATCACTGTCTTTGATTAATATTTGCACTAATCACAAGATTTTTTTTTCACAAATATTGAAACTGAAATTTGGTCCAATAAATAAATAATTCAAGACTACACACCATATATAAAATGAACATTCATTCATTCATTCATTTTCCAATCCGCTTATCCTCACAAGGGTCGCAGTAGTTTTTGGAATGTGGGAGGAAACCGGAGTACCCGGAGAAAACTCACACAGGCCCGGGGAGAACATGCAAACGCCACACAGGGAGGTGGAATTGAACCCGGCCGGTATCTCTGCACTGTGAGGTCGACGCGCTAACCACTGAGCCACCGGGCCGCCCATAAAATGAACAACATACTCAAATTATTTTTTTACGCAGGAGAAAGATAAGTTTAATAAATGCATGGACCACATATTCTACAGCTCTTGTCCTAATTATTGTTGCAGATGAGTTTGAGGCTACTGTATTCCAGTCATCCATGCAAAATAAACAATATTCATAGTCACGTTTCCATATTTGGACGGTCGGTTCACAGTCTTCAGTAAACGTAACATGCATGTTTTTGGAATCTGGGAGAAAGCTAGAAGACCTGCAGCAAACCCTTGAAACTGCAGACAGAACAAACAAACTCCACACAGAAGGGCCTGAGTAGAAATTTAAGCCCTGAAACCTCAGAACTTTAAGGCAGACGTGCTAACCACTAATTCACCGTGCTGCCCAGAAGGAATATAAATTGGACCTCATTAGACTGTGCACTTATGATTGTTATGATGAACAGTTGCACCTCCATCTTTTCCAACGAGTCCTCCTCGAGAGGCGTGAATGAGGGGGATGAAAAGAGGCATGGGGGGTGGGGGGGGGGGGGCGCAGAAGGCCAGTAAGAGGTGCAGTCAAAGTAAACAGCGAAAGGACAATGGGTCATTGTGGTGTATGTGGAGCAGGCCTGGACAGCAGCTGGCTCTTCACTCAAGATGAATGAGTTCACATGACATACGCACACTCAAACAAACGTGTATTGTTATTCTAGAAAATTACTTTCCCAGTGGGGAGAAAAAAAACAACAAATGCTAAATGTTAGTACCCAGGAGTGCAGACTAGAGATGAAAGCTTTTGAAAAATAATCGAATTGCAATTTTTTTTTCGTCAATACTGCATTTGGGAGTTTCGATGCAATTACTTTTTTCAAGGTTATCTTCCTACATTTTTTTTTCTCACAAAAACAAGCAATTAATAAATCTGATTTCAAAAGTGGGATAAAGTGGTAGAAATTATACTCACTGACTTCAAATGCATTTACAAGTACAAGTCTTTTTCATTCCAATTGAAAGGATTCCCACTGAAGATCTCTGGTCATTTGTTTTCATCCTCCACTTTGTTCATCAGAAGAGGTGTATTACAGCGCTCTGACACGCACAGGCCACTGAACGTCATGTGATTTCTCAAGATGGAATTCGTTCCTTCATCTATTCAGCACAGCAGTTGTTGACTGTTTTAACGTTTTTATTGAAGCAAAAACAAGTCAAAAATGGTTTCAAACAATTTCTCCCATCACAGACGGGCTCTGGTAGGCAAAACAAGCCCTCAGCAGTGGCAGCCACTCGGATGATTTTATAAAATATTTGGAACAATCTCGATGTGTGGCGGGCGTAACAAATTTGCGTTGACTCAGTGATTCCGTAACATTTGGCAGCTCTGCGTTTTGCCACATAAATGCACAGTTATCTGCCTTCCTAATCCTGCTTTAAACTTCGCCACAACTTTATCCCGGCCTTGGCTGGCGTGGTCCTTGGTCTGCTCCCCAATATTATTTTCACAGACCTCTAAAACCATCATAGAACAGGTTCATTTCCACTAAGACTACCCTGGATTACACACAAGTGGACTCTATTTACCATCATCAGTCAACATTGGATCAATCCGAAATCCTCAGAGAACTTCTGGAGGGGGGTTCGCACTGACCGTTAAGGGGATTGAAAGATAGGGCATGCCCCATTTTTTTAGTACTTAATTTCCAAAAATAAATTTCATATATCTTATCAATGTCATCCCACTTCACAATTGCGCCCCACTTGTTGTTGATTGTTCAAAAAAAATGCCTGGAATGTGACACAAGGTCAAAAGTTTAAGGGAGGGGATGGATACTTTCGCTAGCCACTGTACATAAAAATGCATTCATCGATTTTCGAGAATTCTAGTCCTCCTTGCGGGTGAGCTGGGATCTATCCCAACTGACTTTGGGCTCTGCACTTTACAGCCTGGACTGAAAAACAAACAACCAGTCACAGGTGCATTCACATAATGTAAAGTAAATTGCATAATTTGTTTGGATTTTTGCTTTGCAAAAGAAAGTTTAGTCACGCGACAATAAAAAGGCCTTTAGTTGAGTTGCAATAACCTTCAACAATCTCTCAACTGATATGAACTGAGGGAGCCAATGGAACACTCGTGAAAATCCATTTCGAGCTGTGGCACGCGCGCACACACACACACACACACACACACACACACACACACACACAGGCACATACTTCAATTTCCATTCATCGAGCAACTAGTTATCCTTGTGCATAAATCAAACACATGAGTGACACAACCCATGCCAACACCTGGCCGTTG